CTAAGCCTGAACCCTTGACCCTACATAGAAGTCTCCATTTTCTTTTCCATTATCCCAGTATTACCCCAATATAACCCCTATAACAAGGGTGATCGTAACATGCACTCGCTGTGATTGTACTATCGGCCTGAAACGCCGCTAAGCCCCAAGAATTGCAGACCTACACCCTGTGGTAGGGTTTAGGGTTTAGGGCTTCCTAAACCCTCAACCCCTAAGCCCAAGTCCCAACCCCAAAGCTTAAGCGTTTTGAGCCGTAAAACCCAAGCCCCCCCTAAGATTGAGAAAGCTAAGCCTCCAAGAAGATCTCAATCTCCTTAAGAATTCAAGCCTTAACACCCATATCAATCTCAATCCAGTTCAAGCCTGAGACTTGAAAGCCCTCCATCCATAAGCTGGAATCCCCTGCCCCCACCCTAAACCCGTCAACAACCGTCTAGGGCTTAGGTTTTAGGGTCTGGGGTTTAGGCATCCTGGGCCACACCATGTTTTCCCTGCTACCATGCACCTCTACTGCGCCGGGCCAAAAGTCTGGCCCTCTCTTGCGCAGCTTGTGAGCCTGTCCACCAGACTCGGACAAGCAACCCCTTTTCCATGTAGACTCATAGCACTGGGATGCGGCCTCCACCAGAAGTGAAAAGTATGATGTGTTAAAAACTAGGTAGCAATTACTTTGCTAGAAGGGCCAATCCAAACGGCCTTTGAAACCCCTCCGCTACTCTGCAAGATCTTCGTATGTCAGGATAAGTTCTTCCCGGTCAAGTAGCTCTATTTTCTGGGACCTCCAATGTAGTACAAGCTCATTGTGAGAGCCAAACAATGCTGGCATAAAGCGATTCAGTGGGGGATATGCCAGGTATACTAGCTCCCAAATCTTCTTCAGCCTCAGCGTGGTTTTAGGGTTCAGGAATTCGGGCCCCCAGCCCCTACAGCCCAATTGGGCCTCCAAACCCTGAAGGCTGTAAGCCCTAACTCCCTCCCAGGCAGGGAGAGCTTAGTACAGTCTATTAGGTGTTCTACATATTGTGTTTTCGAATATATCATTCTGAACCCTAAACCCTAATCCCCAAACCCTGATCCCTAAACCCTTAACTCTAAATCCAGGAGATGGGCGCATTGGCAGCCCAAGTTGCCATGAACACCACGCCTCCTGGCCTGAGATAGCATTTTTTTGAGGGGGGGTTCCTAAACTAGGGATTTAGGGTTTAGGGTTAGGATTTGGGGTTTAGGGTTAGGATTTGGGGTTTAGGATTTAGGGTTTAGGATTTAGGGTTCAGGTTTAGTGTTTAGGGTTTAAGATTTAGGTTTTGGGATTTAGGGTGTAGGGTTTAGTGTTTACGGTTAGGGTTGCCTGTAAAGAGGATTGGCATACCTTGGGGTGTGTATGGAGGGCTTCCTGTTTAGGGAAATTGCCATTTCAGCCCGTTTGTGCCTACTTGGAGGTTCCGTGCAAGTAGGGCAATCCATAACCCTAAACCCTGAGCCCTAAGCCCTGAGCCCTAAGCCCTAAACAATAAACCCTAGACCCCAAACCCCAAGCCCTAAACCCTAAACCCTAGACCCTAAACCCTAAATCATAACCCAACTGAACTACAACTAGGACCTTGGGTTGATCCAGGGTTTCACGTTTTTTTTTTTGGCTTGAGTTGCACCACCCTGAACCCCAAAGCCCTGGAACCTCCAAGGTCGTTCTGTGCTTAACATGGTCCGTATAAGCATGCCTAGGGTGCTTGAGGAGATTTGTAGAGATTTTTCGCGTCCGAGGAATGTTTGATATGCTTTAGGAGGACCCCCCACCCTGTAATAGTGGCTATAAGGGGTAATAAGGATTATACTAAGGTTCGATTACATTCCTAGTATACCACTATTACAGGGTGGGGGGTCCTCCTAAGATATGGTTCGTCTTTGAGGTCGAAGGTTTAGGCTTCTAGGTTTCTGGGTTTAGGGTTTAGGGCCCGTAAAGGGTGTCCACTTAAAGGTTCCTTGGTCCCTACCTAGGTCCTGGACCCTAAGCCCTAACCCCCAATGTATCCTTTGGTGTTCCTCATATAGCTCTTATCTTTTCTATGTCCCCCATATGGATAACCTGTTTTTGGCCCCTAAACCTCCGGTATCCCCGTATCCTCGATAGTCCGTATAACACCTTTTATTTCGCAAAGCCCGGAAGCTTTTGTCAATTCTTTAGGACCTAAAACAGAAACTTACTAAATCCCAGTATTTCCTTTTTATAGTCCCTACATAACCGCTACATTGAAATTATCTAGGTTTGAGGAGTAAAAAAGGGTTCGTACCTGGGCACCCCAAATAATTAGGGGGCCGCAAGAATATAGTAGGAACATCATAAGCGCACACCTACCAGGGCCTTATGTTGCTACTACATTCTCGGGGTTCCCACCCACACCTTAAGCCCCACTTAGGCCGTACCCACCCTCTTCTAGGGTCCCTGCAGCTATTCAAAGGGCTTCTTTTATGGTTCAAGACCTCCGCGCCAAGGTTCTAACGAGCCCAGGAACAAGGGAGCAATACACTGTGGTAGAGCGGGCAGTCAGACAATGGATGGATATTTGACCAGTGGGAATTTAGGGTGGCAGCCCGGGACCCGAGACGTGGAAAGTTGGGCGGATGCAGGGGGTGGGAGGATAAAACAAACGATCCGATTCCTGTTGTCAGGTTCTGATCCCTAAGCCTTAAACCGTGAAAGCTATTCCCTGAAACCTAGACCCTAAAGCCTAAACCCTAAAGCCTAAACCCTAAAACCTAAACCCCCGATTCCTGTTGTTGGGTTCTGATGTTCATGTCAACCGGGAGTCGGCAGGCTCTGGGAGGAGGGCCAGGGTTTGGAAATTCACGAAGCGAGACCCGTACCCTGAGCTGGGGATATATATATATATATTTTTTTAAATTTTATATATAGGATTTAGGGAATAGGGATTAGGGGTCAGGGATTAGGGTTTAGGGTCTAGGATTTGGGTTTAGGGTTTAGGGTCCATGCAGCGGCACTTGCAGGTGGAGTTTACGTTCCACACAGCTCTTGATGTTTGCATTGTTTGAGGACCCTCAAGCCCCAAACCCTCAACCCCCAACTCTAAACCCCAAGCCCTAAACCCTAAACTAAACACCTTTATTTAAGCCCTAAATCCTAAACCCTAAGCCCTAAACCCCAAACCCTAAACCCCAAACCCGAAACCCTTAACCCTAAATCTAAAAACCTTAAGCCCTAAGCCCCAAACTCTAAATTTAAACTCCAAGCCCGAAACCCGAAACCCTAAACCCTAACCCCCTAACCAAACCTAAACCCTAAACCCGAACCCGTCGTCCTTGTAAGCAGTACCTGATCCAGGCTCTCTGCTGCCACGTGCGGCATCTCCGAACCTGGACTGAAGATCTTTCAGAAAGAGCCCGTATGAGTTACAGTCTAAGCTCCTTTAAGGGGGTTAGATAGGGTTTAGGGTTTAGGATTTAGGGTTTAGGATTTAGGATTTAGGGTTTAGGATTCAGGGTTTAGTGTTGAAACTCCTTAAAGGGGGTGAATAGGGGATTTTATAGGGGACTACTATAGGGGATATTAAAGGAGATACAAGGAGTTTAGATTATAGCTCATATGAGGGTGGTTCTAAAGGTTTAAGGTTTAGGGTTTAGGGGTTAGATAGGGTCTAGAGATTAGTGGTTCGGATTTAGTCGTTACAGTTATATACTTCCGATGGGGGCGATAATGGGGTGTATAGAGATACTTAGAGTTTAGGGCTCAGGAGTTTGGGATTCTTCGGGTTTTCTAAATTCAGGGTTCCTCTTTAGCACTTGGAGGTAGAAAAGGGGGTTCTGGAAAAACCATATAGGGATTTCCCAAAATGATCCAAGTCGATCCTTCACAGCAAACCCATCATCCATGTCCCGAAGGGCATACTTATTTTGAGCCATATGGGTTGTTTTGAAAGTTGAGCGGCGTTTCTGCCTTCCGAGCGCACTGGATGCCTATTTTCAAGTACGCGTGATGGGCCAGTGATTTTGAAATCACGCATATGCAGTGTTGTGGTAAGCATTATGGTCATAACCTATCATAATTAGTCAACACGGAAGCAACAGCAACCAAAGGCAGGTCAAGGTCGACAAGCTACTACATGGTTTAACATCCATGAAGTGGTCTGGACATTTTTTGATGCCAAGGTTAAAAAGTCAGGCCCAAAGCCTAAACCCCAAAACCCCAAACCCTAAACCTCAAACCCCAAACCCTAAACCCTGGCGCCAGGCAGAGGGGTTCTCTTTTCCTTGCCAGGGACTGTGCATTCTTGCATCTTCATGAAGCCATGCCATGGAGAAAAGGTCCGATAAAAAAAACCTCAAACCCTAAACCCTAAACCCTAAACCCTAAACCCTAAATCCCAAACCCTCCAAACCTCAAACCTTAAAGGGTCAAGGTTCCCAAGTTGGGGCTGAAGATTTTGGGTATAGGTTGGAAATCTGACAGCATTGCTGTAGGAAGTAGTATATAGGGTTAATATAAGGATTATGTTGGGGTTATATGGGGATAATGGAAAAGAAAATGGAAACTACTATAGTATATAAGGTTAATATAAGGATTATGGTGGGG